CAGGAATGGAAAAGCCCGAGAGAAAGGGTGGAGGAGGGGATTTAACAATAGCCATGAGAAAAACTCTGAAATAACGCCAAAGAAAACAATGCTATGTCCTTGCCAGAGGACACTTATACACTTGACATGGAAGAATATGCCTGTTTTTCTCCTTAAGGAAGAGACCCCTCTTCTTATCTGCAAACCTCAGGACACTCAGCCCCTCCCACCCCCTTTTCTGCAGTACATGAGACCTGAATCAAGAGAGCCTTTCCTTGAATAATTGGAGTTTGTTTTGAGAGGCACATATCCCCAAGAATCACAAGGTTCGGGGAACACATGGGTATTTTATATAGCCCAACCCCATAAATTAGTTTAATTTTACATTTATCATTCCATATTGAGCCCTCTATATCAAATGTTTTGTCATGACTTTGTATAATGTTTATAACTATCTTATTCATTTTACTAAACTCATTCTAAAATTTTGTAAATGATAAATTCTTAAACTGTGGAAACCATTGAAGGTGCTTATTAACTGTTCCCCAGATTTGTACAAGTATTGGATGATTATTTGAGTTTACAGCTGTATAAATATTAGTGCAGAAAATAAATTTTTTTTGTTGTTAAAACATCTCCCTCTATCTTGTATGAATGAAGATATTTAATCTCGGGAGGCGGATTCACAATGGAAAGATAGCCGTTTAATATCTGCAAAACCTATTTAGTCCCCAGTGTTATAAGGGATGGTTTGTTTCCCAAGTGAGTCCCTGAACTTAGGGGCTGATATTTGACTTAAAAATTCATTCTATTGTGGGCATCAAATCACCCTTTTAAACATTGTTTTCTTTTTTTTTCTTTTTTTTTTTTTTTTTTTTTTTTCTTTTTTGTGGTTCGCGGGCCTCTCACTGTTGTGGCCTCTCCCGTTGCGGAACACAGGCTCCGGACGCGCAGGCTCAGCGGCCATGGCTCACGGGCCCAGCCGCTCCGCGGCATGTGGGATCCTCCCAGACCGGGGCACGAACCCGTGTTCCCTGCATCGGCAGGCGGACTCTCAACCACTGCACCACCAGGGAAGCCCGAACATTGTTTTCATTTTTTAGAAAAATTTTAGCTACAGGCAATAGGGTTTCCTGATTCAGTTCTGAAGATGAGCTGTCCTTTTCTCCCCTCCTCATGTCCAGAAGGAACAAAGATACCTTCCTGACCTTGGCCACGGAGTGAGACCCCCGTTCTGTTCTAAGCTGCTACCAATGGGAAGTGCCACCCGCGCTGACCCCTGGGGGGATGAGAATGGACCGTTGACTTGGACAGAGTGAAGGGGGCTCAGAAATAGCAGGAACAAGGTGCTCAGAGCTGAAATTGTTGTAGCGAAGGGACCTGGTACGTCAGGGCCTGCTTGTCAAATGGCACCATAGTGGAATCAGGTACAGCCTGCCAATGTGGATTTATTGACAGGGACAACTTACGTTAGGGCTAAAACTTCCAGTGTTTTATTCTGGTCATAAAATCGTAAAGGTGATGTCAGGGAAGATGGTGGAGTAGGAAGGTGTAGGAATCTATCCATCTGTCAAAACAGCAGTTGAACTGGCAGGAGCCGTCTGAATAAAGTACTTTGCAACTCTGTGTCAGTAGAATGCTTGCAGCACCCAGGAGAGAGCTTGATGAAAGGCTGATAAATTTTGGTCAATTTCCTCTTAATAGTGGCAACCATCACCCACCCCTCAGCCCCAAGACACTCAGCTGTGGGGACAGCAGCCCACGTTCTTAGTGCAGCTTGTTAGGGCCAGGGTGAGTGATAAGAACAACACTGCTCTCCAAAAATCAGATTTGTGGGTTCTGATTGCTGCTTTTAATTGTTTGGAGGCCAGCACAGAGGGAAATGTCTTCCTGCTGTTGGATTTAGCAATGATTTCTTGTATATGACACCAAATGCACAAGCAACAAAAGAAAAAGATGAATTGGCCTTCATCAAAATTCAAAACTTTTGTGCATCAAAGGAGTGAAATGAGGGACTTCCCTGGTGGTCCACTGGCTAGGACTCTGTGCTCCCAATGCAGGGGGCCCAGGTTCCATCACTGGTCAGGGAACTAGATCCCACGTGCCACAACTAAGAGTTCGCATGCTGCGACTAAAACGATCCTGCACGCAGCAACGAAGATCCTGCGTGCCGCAACTAAGAACTGACAGAGCCAAATAAATAAATAAATAAATATTTTTTTAAAAAAAGAAGTGAAATGACAACCAACCCATGAAAGGGTAGAAAGTGTTTGTGAATCCTATATGTGATAAGGGTTAACATCCAGAATATGTAAAGAACTATAACTCAACAATAACAATAGCAAAAACAACCCAATCAAAAATGGACAAAGGATTTGAATAAACTTTCTCAAAGAAGATATACAAATGGCCAATAAGCACATGAAAAGATGGTCAACATCATTAACCTTTAGGGGAAAGCCAATCAAAACCACAATTAGATGTCACTTCACACACATTAGGGTGGCAGATGGCTATCAAAAACAAAAACAGAAAATAACAGTGTTGAGGAGGATGTGGAGAATTGGAACCCTTGTGCATTTCCAGTGGGAACGTAAGATGGTGCAGCCACCGTGGAAGTCCATTTTGTGGTTCCTCAAAAAGTTGGACACAGGGGCTTCCCTGGTGGCGCAGTGGTTGAGAATCCGCCTGCCGATGCAGGGGACATGGGTTTGTGCCCCGGTCTGGGAAGATCCCACATGCCACGGAGCGGCTGGGCCCGTGAGCCGTGGCCGCTGAGCCTGCGCGTCTGGAGCCTGTGTTCCGCAACGGCAGAGGCCACAACAGTGAGAGGCCCACGTACCGCAAAAAAAAAAAAAAAAAAAAAAAAAAAAAAAAAAAAAAAAAGTTGAACACAGAATTACCATATGGTCCAGCAATTCCACTCCTAGGTATACACCCAAAGAAACTGAAAGCAGGAGCTCGAACAGATACTTGTACACCGATGTTCATAGCAGCATTATTCACAATAGCCAAAACATGAAAATAACCCAAGATTCCATCAATAGATGAAAGGATAAACAAAATCTAGTGTACACATACAAGGGAATAATATCCAGCCATAAAAAGTAATGGAGTTCTGACACATGCTACAACATGGACGAACCTTGGAGTCACTGTGCTAAATGAAATAAGCCAGTCACAAAGGAACAAATATTATATGATTCTACTTATGTGAGGTACCTAGAATAGACAAATTCATAGAGACTCAAAGCAGATTAGAGTTTACCAGGTGCTAGGGGCAAGAGGAATGGGGGTTATTGCTTTATGGTTTCAGAGTTTTTACTTAGGGTGATGAAAAAGTTTTGGATATAAATAGTGGTGATGGTTACACAACATTGTGAATGTACTTAATGCCACATGTACACTTAAAAATGGTAGATTTTATGTAATATATACTCTACCACAATTTTTTAAATTACTGATGTAATATACCAAAAAAACATTGAATGTACACTTTACATGGGTGAATTGTATGGCATATGAATTATAATCTCAATAAACCTGCTTTCTAAAAATACACTGTAATTTAAAGAAAGGCGAGTTACCTTGG